GTATCTGTTTATTACCACATTAAACCTTAGAGCAAGTTCCTGCTGCCATGTAAAACTGAAAGGAACTAATTGTACCGGTTAGCTTCCTCAGTGTCCACTCAGCTCAGTGCAATCGCATGTTAGAGAATCGAGTCTCCAAACTTTCAGGTGTTAGTTATCAAATGGAAATGTTCCATTAGAGATTTTCGATTAAAGTTTCCAGAGCTATAGCTTTTTGCGACTGCAAAATTGCAATTGTAAAGAGGACTTGTGTGAAAATTCTCCTAAGTTAACTAGGCTCCATAACTAGTGGCTTTTCGGAAATTGAGCCGCAAAGTCTGCGCTTGAGAGAGCGGCAGAAACAAAGCCTATGATTTAAGCAGACACAAAAAGATACGAAGGCTTCAGACAAAGTCCATGACATTCACAAATACTTTGCTGAAATTAGTGTTAGTTTAGTTTGCTCTGTATGCCCCACTTGTCACCATTGTATCGGTTTTTGACGGTTTTGTATGCGGTTTTCGGTTTTGGCCGAATTTTTTTGCGGTTTTACGGTTTTGGATGATTTTTTCCTTCGGTTTTGCGGTTTCTAATATACTCCGATGCCCCCCTCCATACGATGATGCAATTTTAGCTCAATTTGTGGTACATCACGCGACTGATTCTAATAGAACGGTAAGAGTCGAGTGACTGCGATGTCATTACACTTGTCAAATTTTTAAGTGTCGGTTTGCTGTTGGTCAACTGTCGGTTAACTGTTGGTGTACTGCCGGCCGACAGCTGGCCGACAGACTTTTAGGGGAGCTGTTCTTCACTTTTACCCAAAAAGCAGCCCTGAGGATTAAGTTTCCCAAAGTTTATGAGAGGCTGGGGGAACTAAAAGGTTATCAGCTTAAGATGAATGCACTGCAACAGTAGCACAGCCATTATGCCAAATTTCATTCCGCAGGAGAGGGAAATTGTCAGAAAAACTGAAGCAACTGGAGGAACACAGGGTCATTCAGGAGGTCAGTGGTTCCACTAGCTGGATCAACCGCCTTGTAGTCGCGGAAAAGGCTAAGGGAGACATTCGGATTTGTTTAGACATTAGAGGCACACAAATCATGCGATCCTTAGGGTGGATGGCCACTGTTGTGTGTATGCAAGTAAGTCTTACTCATGTAAATAAAATAGAGACAAGGTATGGTGTGCTGCACTCACACATGAAGTTGAGCGAAGTTCATGATACTTGCCTCTCTTATCTCTCTTCTTCTTGCGAACATAAATTTTAAGCCCCTACACATGTAAAAATTACACAACAGTGGAAATCCATCTTAGAGAGAAGCACTTAAAACCCACTTTTGAAGAAACCTTACAAGAGATATCAGAGAAACAGTTTTTAGCAAATTGGACCTGAACATGGCATTCCACCAGATAGAACTGGATTCTGATTCACGAGACACCACCACTTTTGTTGCTCCAGAGATTCTTTATCAGTACAAGAAGTTGTTCTTTGGAGTCAACATGACCACTAAGAAGTTTACTTAACCACGAATTTTTTTACTGTTGAAACTCTCTCTATTCTCAAGGTGATTCAGAACCAACCTTTCATAATGGATATTTCTTCAACAATCAGCGCTAGATGGACGCAAGCCAGTCAACCTCTCATTTACCTCCATCAACTGGTCGTATAAACCAGGCCATGGAAGATTAAAACGCCTTTTCTTTTACATACAGTTCTTCACAAGAGTTTCAGCTAGCCAGCCATGAAAGCACTGCCAGAGCAAGCACTGGGTAAGTAACGAGACAAAACACCTCATTCTTTGTTCAAGTTTGTGCTGATGCTTTTTTGAACGCAAAGGAACCCAAGCAGAGAAGAAAATCTGTGAGGAAATCCACGCTAAATTTACAGAAATGTGTGCAGATTACAAAATTAGAAATGGAAAGTCCTTGGATCAGTTAAAAGATAATGGAACAGCCTTTTTGTATAAGAGATTAAATGACAACAACAAAGCAACTGGAAGAGGCGAAAACAATTCCCTACCAATTAAGCGATACACCATAATGCAATGTTTACTTTCAAATGCACAGTCTTTTAAACATTAGCCCCTTTTGGAAGATGCAATTGACAGTAGAGTCCAGCAATGTGGTTGAACATTTGAAAGTAATGGGACTTTGAACAGGCCTGTCTTAGAAAAAGTTCAAATGTTCTGGGGGTTACCCAAGGGATGTTAGAGTTTTGAATTAGGCTCTACAAATCTTATGCGAAGCACTTTTTAAAACTCTGTCTTAGTGTGGCATGGTCTCTTCTCACAAAGTGCTCATTTGCCTAAAGTCCCGAGCATTACTGGGCCGAGAAAGCTGTCGTTCTTTACGTATGAGGTCAAGGAGTTCAAACGATTTGCAGATAACATGATAAGACCATCAGTTAACGAAATAAAATGGACTAGTTTGTTGGCTAGGAGCCGCAATCTTATTGTTTATATTAGCTCCTCCTTTCCAGCACATTGTTCGCTTGGAGATTGACAAGTTGTCTTGGACAATTATTTTACGTCTAGTTCTTCCCACATTGTTCCACTAAGTGGTGGTGGGTGCGTAAGTCTTGTTTCGGTTTAAAAGCGAGGAAAAAAAGAAACATAGAAAAGGAAAAAAATGTGTATTATGTAACTTGAAAGTCTCGAATCAGGAGGAGTGTCAGGTTTGTAATAGTAAAGAAATCAATGACAACAAACGTCTCTGTGTTATTGCTGCTGTTGGTTCTCTCTGCAGCATTTAAAACAGTTGACCATAATATCATACTAGACCGATTGTCACAGAGGTTTGGTATTGTTGGACATACTTTGAAATGGTTCGCATGTTCTCCTGCTGATTATCAACAGACAGTACATATAAATGGTTGTCAGTCATCACAAAGAAGCCTTTGATGCGGTGTGCCCCAAGAGAAGTGAAAAGTGTGTTCGTGATATCGAGGCATGGATGGCCATTAATAAATTAAAATTGAATAGGGACAAGACTGAGCTACTCGTCTTGAATGCTTATCACCGTACGAGGCCCCCACTGGAGTCGGTTACAGTATCTAATGAAGTGATCTTCCGGCCTTCAAGTTCAGCTAGGAACAGTGAAGATCTCTTTGACTCTATATATGAGTATGGAGCAACACGTTATTGCAGTGGCTAAATCGGCATTTTACCACTTAAGAAACATAAGTCGCATTAGGAAATACATTAGTTCTCACATTGCTGAAATTTTGATGCATGCTTTTATAACATCAAGGTTATGTGTAATAGCTCAGAATAATCTCAAAAGACCTCCGTCTGCTCAGAAGTTGGCACCTTAACAGGTAAAAGAGAACCCCTATTTTAGAAAGACTCCACTGATTGCCAGTTGAACAAAGTGTTATTTTTAAGATGTAATTAATAACTTATAGGGCACCGAATAATCTTGCTCCAACTTATCTATCTGATTAGTTAAGCAGCTTGAATCAAGTAGGAACCCTAGATCTTTTAATACAAATTGTAGCAGCTGCCAGGCCTTTTGCCAAGATATGTTTCATGATCATTTTCATCTATATTGTGCATTGCATTGCGCTTTAAGCATAAATGACATTATTGTCTTTAGATCATCATGATAGGACCTGATCTTTGCAGGAATCGAGCGCATGAAATCAAATAAATCAGAAAGCGATTCGATAAGATCTCAGACCTTTAGATGAATGAAGTTTAGTACCAGTAGCACCTCGGGAAAATCACAAGCAAGGTCGACCAGCTTGCTATAATTAGAAGCTGCCGTCTAGACCGCAAGACTAAACATGGAAATGACCTTCTTTACATGTGAAAATGAGATAAGTGAAGCGGAGGAAAAGGCGATTGACAATGCTCTTGTTGACGAGCGGAAAGAAACTGAAGTAAGACGAGCACCAGTTAAAACATTGGATCCATTAGTGCCACCATGTATCCCTTATTCACCACCCAGTCAAACAAGGGATATCAGAAAAAGTCACGGAAATTAATCCACAAGATAATCCTTGTAATTTGCCCCCCACGGTGCTATCACAATAACAAGAAAATTCAGCAGTTAAGCAACGAATTAAAACAGCCGATCCTTGGCTGAGTCCTTCTGATATCAACCAAAATTTGTCAAGAGACACCTACCCGACAAACACTAAAAAAAATAAAAAACTTGCACACAAAACAAGCAGAACTTAGTTCGCTACTGTTAGAACAGCAAAAGAAAAACAGCTTGCCAGCAAAAGAATTGCCGTTTTTTTCGGGAAATGCCTTTAACTCAATCATCTCTGAGAATGTCCTATTGAATTTAATTCAAGTTAGCACCAAACTGCCTTCATACCCCGATGTAAAGTGGTGACATCAAGTATACAGTACTTGAACAAAGTTTGGCTCGAATGTATCCTTTTGCGAATTTGTACAATTTTTCAAAGGGGAATCGGATCTGGCAAACAACCCAGTCGTTTTGCCGGACGCCTTAAGAAGAGAAGGGAGAGGCCATGACGCCATTAAGGGACCTGTCATTCTTTAGAGGAGGAGGGAGGGCTGGTGCAATTCTTTTTTCCCAGGTGAATTTTTTTATGCCCTTCCCCAATTTCCAGCAGAAAAAAATGTAACCCTCCCCCCTGTATGGCCCAAAATAATTATGAACTCCCCACGCTAAAAGATATGACAGGGATTATTAACAGAGATCAACTTTTACCTTGTGATGGAGGGAGGCGCCAATATGACTTTCAGGAACAGGTATCTAAGATCACCTCGTGCATTGAAGCAATATTGAGGACGAACAATTCTGGTGCTGCTGCAAAATTTTACACAACCGATTATGTTCTTGTCCCAGCTGATCAGTTAATCTGAGGGCGAACATTATGAAGCTCAGTGAGTTACTAGAGAACATATCAGATATGGATAGACGCATTAAAGCTCACCTTAACACCCTGTTTCACTCAAAGACTGGTAATTTGATAATCATAACTAGAACTGCTTGCCCTCGCTTGCCTTAAGAAACGCTTATAAAATAATGCATGTTTTGCAGGC